ATCATTAGAGCATCTCTGGAGGAGGACACTTGATTTGGACCAATAACCTAAAATGCAGTATTGGCTCTAGCATCCCACTGAGAGCTGGAATCGCTCTCACCCCAGCACTGAGGATCACCTCAGAAAGGAAGGTGATCTTTTTCCTTGAAGGAGGAAAAAGGCACGTGCTGCTCTTACTGCTGTAAGGTTTTGCGCAAATCTGCCTTTTTCAGGGGAGGTGAGCCTTCTGGTCCCCTGCTGAGGCGTGAGGGTAGTCATCTTGAGAGTCTGCAACTGCAAAGTTGTCTCCTTTTCTCTAAAACAAAGACCTACACAAAGTCAAGAAGCTGCTGTGCTTACAGTAGTAAATATTTATAGAGCCTTGTTCACCTGAGCTATTTAAAGCAATTTACCCGAGATCTTAATATGTTTAAAGGGAGAGCCCAAGAGTAGCATGAAATGTGTTTCTCCCTTGTCTTTCTACCTTTTCCAATGTGACTTCCAGTTCCGTTTATCTGCTTGCCTGCTGCCTCCTCCGTTGTGTTTTCAGAGTGCTGCTGGTGGTGCAGATGCAGTTCAGGGCCTTGGCGGAGCGGAGGGATGCCTTTGCTGAGCCGTGAATTCCAAAGAGGAAGGGGGACTGACAGCCTGATACAAAGTAGTATCAAATGCTGGAAGAAAATTGTCATTTCTCTTGGAGGGGTTTTACTTTTCCTGTTCACATCAGGTGTAATCTTGTGGGTGAAATTTTTAACTAAGCTAAGGTTGGGTGTGGAGTTTTTCAGGTCATATTGATGCAAAGTGTGCTGTGCTCTGCATGAGTAATTTGGAAGAGGTCAGAGTTTCCTATAACACATCCTGTGTATTCCCATGGGAAAATGGCTTGCTTTCTTAGGTTTTCCTTATACCGACTAGCAAAAGAAATAAAGGTTTGGAATTCCCTGGAGTCTTGCCCAGGAGCGTGAAACCCGGCTCTGTGGAGGGGAATCAGTTGTCTGACATCAGGCTTGGTAACAGCAGATTGCTTCGCAGAGCGCCCTGTGCCAGGTCGGCTCGCTGCTCGAGAATTGGGGTTGAGATGGCGTCAGCGTAAGTAGGAGTCTAAAGCGGGACTGGAAAAATAGCAGAGGAGTCGACCTGAATGCTAAATTAGAGAGAACAGCCCAGACTTGTTTTCCAAGCCTCATTCATTTTGTTGCACCATGCTAGATATTGGTCAAGAAAGAGATCACTTGATATAAAATAAGCTTTAAACGAGACTGTTTTCTTTTCCCCCAGTGCTGTGTGCCCCGCGGGCCAGGCGGGGTGGCGGAGGCAGCTGCTGGCGACGAGTTGGCTGGTTTGCTGGTGTCGTCTGGTTTGCTGGTGCTGCGTGCGCCGCAGGAGCATCGCGTGGGGTTTGTAGCAGCGCATCCCTTCCAGGGGATCAAAGCACGCTCTGGCAGAGAATAAATGTCAGTCTCGAAATGAGCTGTACTTTGCTGCAAGCAGAGGTGATGCTCAGGTGGGGAAAACCCTCTCAACTACAGAAATTAAATTTTAAAAACTTCCCTTAAGTTATTGGTGTCTGAGCTGCCTGAAATGAAAAGGCAGGCGAGCAGCCCTGGTGCGGCTCGGCCACGGCAGGCTCTGCCAGCGGCTGTCACACTGCCAGCAGCCTCTGTGCAATGGTGGCATCTAGTGGCTGCTACGGCCGGCGGGTCCCTGGGACAAGGGGGAAGCCAAGGCTGAGCTTGAGCTGGAGGCTGGGCCTAGGAAAGCGAGCTGGGCTGCTCTGCTTCCTTGCCAGCTGTAAATGGGGGGACTATGTATTTGGGCTACAGCTTGGGAAACTGCTGTGTGTCACTGGGACTAAAACAGAAAGGTACCAGCTGTGAGGTGGCCAGTGCTGGCGTTAGCCGCTGTGGTGAGTCTCGCAATTTTAAGGGCATCTGTGATGGATGCAAGTTTTCTAGCACTGGTGAGCTATGGCCATACTGCACAGTGAAGAGAGTGAGCTGCGCTCTGCTCAGAGTGCAAACCAGCTAAGAAAAAAAAACAGACCAAAAAAAAAAAAAAGATGCTGCGTGCAAGCTTTAAAGGGAGACCCTTTGACCTGTCCTGATGCGCTGAGTGTTTATGCAAGAGGGAAGCTGACATTTTCTCCAAAATGTTGCAGTTGCACAGGTTTTGTCATTATCAGTGAGCCTGTAGGTAGAGTTTGCTCAAAAACTTTTTGTAAATTACTCCCTAGCCCCAATTTGAGTGTATGCAAGTTAAAAAGTGCATTGCTTTCCTCCAGCCTGTGTTACTTACTGCTTAAATGCTGACTGTAGCCTAGAATAAAAAGTCAAAACAGCTTTGCTTTTAGCTTGAGTGTATGTGAATTCCTGAGGCTGGTTTCATGGCAGTACTGCAGGGGTGTAATCTTCAGAAAGGCCTTTACTCTTCACCTCCAGCACTCTGATGCCAAGGAGCAAAGTTCTGCACAAAGACATGGGCTGCCCTGAGGCCAGGCAGCGAAACCAGTTGACTGCAGCTGTCTGGAAATGTGAAGAGATAGATTTGGTACTTTCCTTTCTCTGTGCTTTTGCATTTGGCATTTGACCTCAAGTGTGGTGGGCAGCAGGTGCCTGGAGAGTCTGCCAGAACAGCTCCATCGTGGTGAGCTCTATTAATTTCCCACGCAAGCTGGGAATCCCTGCCATCCCTCCCTGTCCCCTGGGAAAGGATATCTGCAGGGGCAAGTACAACCATGCACCTCGTGCTTATTCCCTCCATCTCGCATACCTTCTCTTCTGAGCAAAGGCATCACTACGAAGGATATGAAGGACTTCTACTTTGCCTATTTATTTTCCCTGAGCATCTTTGGAGTGAGGAGCAGTTGGACCAGGAGCTCAGGAAGTTTTCCAGTGCTGTTTTCTGTTGGTTGCCTGCTTTGGTCATGGCCATATTGTTCTGCCCAAAGACTGGCGTTGCTCTAGTTTAAAGTATGTGGTATAGTTTCAGATGGGCATGGAGGGAATGGGTATTTAAAGCATTGCTCTGGTGACTGAGTCGTGTATTTGCGACAGGGAACCCACATTCCTCACATTGGGGATGTAGGCTGGGCAGTTTGTGAGTGTGGAACCTAACGAAGGCATTTCTGGGTTTGTGTGTTCGGCGTTTCAATTAACGAGTTTTCTTCTCTTTCCAGTCAAGCTGAACCTCTCTCACTTTTAAAAGCTGATAGTCAAGTGATCATTTCACCTCGACGGTGGCACTTTTGGAAGCACTTGGCTTCTGTGCCCTGAAAACTGTCTCAGTTCCCCCTCCTCAGTGCTTTCATGCAGCTGCTCCATCCATGTGCTTGGGCTGCTGGCACAGAGGATGCTGAGGGCTTCCTGCTGCAGGGAGCTCTTCTGCCTAAGGAGTGGAGCAGAGTCTCTGGGGGTTTTGCTGCTGAAACAGGGCAGTGGGCTTAATTAGCCCTTTCCCTAATGGCCCATCAGCCTGTGCCAGGGGATGATCCTGGTTCAGGGTCTGGGGGCGAGAAGTCTGGATGCTCCCTCCTGCCTGCAGAGCAGGCTTTCTCCCACTACAGCTTGCCATCCCTGGGGACAAGGGAGATTTATGTCCGCCTGAAAATAAATACAGATCATTCACTTATCTCTGGAGGAACATAAAATGTAAACTGCCTATTTTCTGTGATAAAGCACTGGAAATAGTTTGAATTTAAGATAATTATCTTTATTGCTTTTTATAGCACCCTGTGAAGGCTGAAATCTAATTTGTTTTTCACTAACAGGCAGCTCCTGCTGATGACTCAGAAAAATCCATTTGCTTTATTTACAAACTTGTCTGTTTGGTTATCGGGGCAGTATTCTTGCAGGAGAAGGGAAATACAGGTCGTAACACAATGGTGGGTTTTTAATATAGATTCAAAGTTTGATACCTATTGGCAAGAGGAAAAAATAAAGTTGATCTAATCAGAGTGAAGTGACTCTGCTTTATTAAAGACAATTGTAAATTAGTTTATGCTTTAGTGGGTGTGCAGTAATGGTGTACAATGCTTTGTTTAAGCAACTTCAATACACGTGAAGCTTATTAACTGGAGCTTGGGAGAAGCTGCTTTTCCTGGACACCTGGTGCCCCTTGGCCGTTCCTGAGCCCAGGCTTTGGGGGAAGAGGTGGGAGGTACGGTCATGCCTCTTCCCTCCTGTGCCTGGGGCCATGGGGAGTGGTGTGTTTGGCTCAGTTTGGACATGTTGCTTGCAAGTGGAGTTGCCCCTTTTTTAAACTTCTCCAAATGTGAGACAGGCTCCCAGTTTTTAACAAACTCTTTGTGTATCTGAAGATGTTGGGCACCCCTTGTGCGAACGAGTTGCTTGTCAGCACAGCCTGGTGTTGCAGTTTGGAGGGTCTTCTGCTGCTCTGGTCCTGTGGCTCTATGAAAAGCAGTCGTCTGTGCTTCCTTCTCAGCCCTTGATAAAGGGGGAATGCTTTCTGCCTTATCTGACCATGTATGATACACACCTGAGAGCTGCTCAGAAGAAGAAACAGCATTGCCCGGACAGGCTTTCAGTATCGCCCACCTCCCAAAATGTCCTTTGATTGTTTTAGGCAGTGATGTTTCTTGAGAGATGGTGAGTCTGCAGGCTGACTTAGCAGACGTGCTTCTAAATTGCTCGTCTCTGGCTCGTCCCCCAAAAGTCTGTAATGTAACACTGTCACTTGGGATAATGCTACAGACCACTGAATCTCCTACAGCTCGAGTCCTAGCGTGTTTTATCCAATAATGGAGAAGTAAGAAACAATCTAGGGGTTAACTATATTTTTAGGGAGGAGGGATAGAGCTTCACAAGAGTAGTCTTTGCCTTAAAGCAGAGGTCTATTTCTATGAAGTCTCTGTAGCCCTCCACAAACACGCAATAGAGCAAGGGGGAGAAAACATCACTTTCTGTAAACATGAAATGATAGATCTGGCTAGGCAGAGCAGATTTCTTGTCCATCTCTGAAGACCTGCTCAGTGTTTGCTCAGCTTTTTATTGGTTTCCTTTCAGGAATTGACTACAAGACCACTACTATCTTGTTGGATGGCAGAAGGGTCAAGCTGGAACTGTGGTGAGTGTTTCTGAGCTGCTTTGGCTGTGAGCACAGGACCAGTGAGCAGGGGCTGTGGTGCTGCTAGTGGGATGTGGTACTGAGCTGCAGAGAGCGCAGAGCATCCCCAGGCATGCGGTGAGGCTTGCTCTCTGTTCTTATCAGTGAGTTAGTCTAGCAAGCCAGACCTCTTTCCATTGATTGAGTAGCACAAACAGCATACTGTTCTTTGCTGGAATAGTCCGACTTCAGTCTTTCTCTGTCATACCTGACCATGTTCCCATACAGCTCTCAAATCACTGAGGGAACAGTACTATTTTGGAAGCAATACTGGATTTTCCTGAAATCCTAGGATGAGAAATATAAACAAAAGAATAGGAAAGGAGGAGAAGAAAAACGTGTGAAGCCCTTAGTCCCTACAGAAGCTGGGTATTTCTCAATGACTTGAGTAGAAAATAAAAACAAGAGCAGTGAATAGACCTCAGAGTTATTGTCAGAGTATGGTAAACCCCTGGAGAGCAGGACTTACTGGAGTGACCTGACACTGGGATGGAGATGGGACAACACTGCATGGGAGGGGTGATCCCTGCCTTATCTGCCAGCACCAGAGAGAGATCTGGAGTCCTTCTGGCCAAGCTTTGTCTGAGGTTTAACCTGCTGAGAAGCTGACACAGCAATCCTGTAGGTGAAAGAAGAAGGATAGGTAGCCTGCCCCTATTCTGGGTTTCACTCAGATCTAGTAGGGAATGACACAGACCCTAAAACATGAAGTTAAATAGTCCCTTTACCAATGCTTGTGACAAGTAACAGGAGTATTAGCAATCTGTGTGAATTGTTAGATAGGAATGAACGCCATGTTCTCAGCCCCAGCGACTGACTCTAGCAGTGTATGGTTCTGTGGTTTAATTATACCCCTGCTCTCTGAAGCTGAATGTCTTCATTTTTCTTACAAAAGAACAGAAGCAGCTAATTTATCTCTTCTAGCTTGTATGTTTATATGTGCCACTTATGTTCTTCTGTCTCTTGTAAGATGTCTGTTTTAATGCTCCAGCCCCAAATGTGTAGTTACTGCTTCCTTCTTGAAACCCTCTCCTTTTTATACTGTAATTCTTGAGCTGGAGAACTAGCACAGGACCTGAAAAGCTGGTAGCATCAGTTTATGATGCTTTAGTGTAATCTTTTACCATTACTTTCTTCGTGCAACCCAATATCTGATTGTTGGGGGAGAAGGAGGTGTAAGCACAGACTGTTAGATTGATGTCCAGGACCAAAAATATGATCTTTGAAGGCTTTATATCTGAAAGAATGACTGTCCTGAACTTGAGGTTAATGCTCTTTTCATATAACTGGTGCAAATCTGGGGCTGAGGGATTCATCAGGCTTCTCAGTGGTCGTTAATGTGTCTTTTATCCTGGTCTAGTGAATAGATATGACAAACATCATAACATGTCTCTGATTACCCTGATGCATTTTAGTATATACTGGTTAAATCAGTGTGCTGGGCTTTGGCTTACTGTACCAGATGTTCCCGCAGGCACTGAGAGGTGCTGGTAATGTAGTCAGACTTATTTATACCACGTCAAGAGTTGCCCTCAGGACAAATGATAGTGACTGAATAGCCCCTTATTGTTGCAGTAGGCTAGAAACACTGTCCCCTAGTCCTGTTCCTGAGCTCTCTGTAGGGTATGATCGACCAAGTCTGTCAGAGATCTGGGTATAAAGATACTTCCTTTCATTTTTGGTTAAAATGTGTTTGGAAAAATAAGTGAAACTAGGCAGTGCAAGACAATTTCTCACATCTTGAGCGGTTATGTTCATTTTACGATAGGTCAGCTGTTCTCCGTGACTAGAAGAGGTCTGCAGTCTCAGTCTTTGAACTCCCATGGACTGTGGGGAACTAGAGAGAAAATCCTTTGCCCAAGGGAGTAAAATGACTTAGCTAGTACTGAAGCTGAGTGGTTTTGGTTTGTACCTTCTCCATGGGAAGCACGATGACAGCAAGGACCTCTGGAGTGTGTCTGACTGTAACCAAAGGTGGTGATGCACGCACCAATTCTCCCCCAAAAACACCATGCAGAGCGGTGTGGGTACCACACATATTCTAAAGATCTAATAAGACCAACGCTGATTTTTATTTATATTTGTTTAGGTCCAACAGGAGATATGCAGTATGGGATTCAATTCTCCAAGTTTCGTAGCTGTAACTTTTCTTTGTTGCAGGGACACATCAGGGCAAGGAAGATTTTGCACCATTTTCAGATCCTACTCTAGAGGAGCCCAGGTAAGTGCTGTTCTCAGTGCTTCGATGGGGCACACTTGCTTTTCCTTTAGGCTGTAAAAATCTTTCATGCCACAGTAAAGAGCTCTGAAGAGGAATGCATCAAGCATCAAAAGCATGGGATCTATGTAAATGCCAAGAGGGGCTGCATGTTATCTTGCTGCCTGGTATTCTGTTTTTATGAAATGGTGGAAGAGAGGGGAGTAAATGACAGACTTTCCTAGAGTCTTACAGAAAAGGTCTGTTACAGACTATATTCAGTATTAGTTTCTAGAAAAGGGCTGAGAAGATGGCGTTATAGAGGACAAGGCAATTCTAGCTCTGGATCTGCCTGAGCTTTAATGTGGGAGCTCATACTTTCTGAGGTTTGTCAAAATTGTTTAAATATGACATTGGCTTTCCCAGTGGAGTTCTTCCAGTCTGTGTTGTCTTCAAGTCAGTTCCAAAAATAGGGTGGCTCCTACTTGCATGTTTGAAGCAGACTTGAAACTAGAGCAGCTCAATTGGATCGTAAAGTACCTTACTTAAAACATGAGACAGACCATTACATTTTGAGTTTCTCCTTTGGGCCCTGCTCCAGAATAGCATCTAGATTCTGAACAGCAGAAACATCTTGTGGTCCTCTGAAAAACTGCAGTTAGTTAATAGAGCTTTCTTACTGTTTTATTGTAGTCCTTTTAGTAATGTGATAGGATCCTTCCAGGATAAAGTCTCCCTAAGCTAAATGAAATACTGTATTTTTCCTTTTGTTTCCAACTTGGAAAACTTTGGAGAAAATTCCTCCTGTCTTAAACACTAAGAGTCGGAAGCTATATATCAACCTCCTGACTGTGCCACTATCCTGGCAGCTTCCCAGCCTTTGGGAAACTTTGCCGCTTTTATTCAACCTCTTGCCATTACTACTCTTGGCTTTTTGCTCCTTGTGGCTGTAGACTTTTGCTTTGCTAACTGGCAAAATCCGTCATGCTCTCTTTCCCTAAGACTTCCTGCAAATTCACTTGTGCTGTACACATGAGAGCACTTTGCCTGGGGTGTGCTGTTGATATCTCCTCTGGTGTCATGTTTATTCTTGTTTGTGCAATCTCTGGGGTTGTGGATGCTTTGAGGCAGCTCCTTTGAAGCAGAGGCCAATTTCCTGGTGCTTGCAGAAGTGCAAGGCAAGAAGTGTTGGGGCGTGCCTTCTGCAGTGGGAGAGTACGGGATCTCCCGTTCGCATGCTCGGTCCCGTGTGATTGAGTTTATCTTCAGGCTTCCCTTTGCCCTTACTACACTTGAGAAAAGTCTAGAGCTTCAGTCCTAGTATAATCTGTGGGCTTGACATTGTGTCACTTCCCTTACCAGTTTAAAGGATCAGAATCAGTCAGTGTGGTTTTCTGATAACCACATAACTTAGCTTTGGTCAGTCTTTTTCTGAGACCTGGCTGTGTCAGATGCCCAGATCAAACTGGTAATAGAAAGCAGCAATCTTCCCAACTAATGTGTCCAGAAATATCATTTGAGAGCTTTTACCCCTGTCTGCAGTGTGACCTGCTTTTCCAGACTGCTGTACAGAAGACTTTCTCCCCTTCGTGTAGACTGTGAGCTCCTCAGAGCAAGTGCTGCGTCTCCACAAGTCTGCACCCAGCAGAGCCTGCACCCACATGCCAGAACTCGTAGCTGCTGCCACCATATAGCGAACTGGGGCAGACAGGAAAGGTGAAAAAAGTAGTGATAAGAATACTTGAACTGGATGGAGAGACAGGTACACATCTGTCTAGAAACTGGAACCGTAAGGCACTTGCACAGTGCATCCTTTGGGTTCCTGTAGCCTGTTTTCCCTAGATGCTAGTGTTTACAGTGGATGCCATAAAGTATTGTGTATCTGGCTGACCTTAAGTTTGAAATTGAAGATTGCTTTCACCTACCTTTCTCAAAATGAAGTTCTTGACCTTCTTTGCTTTGGAGGCAATGTCTTGCCCTTTTGCTGTATTTATTGGTATTGCTTTAGGAACTCTCACCTGAACATCTGCAAGGCTTGTCTTTATCCATCTTATCTGCTTACCCCTTCCAAGGAGTCTGAGAGACAATAAACCTCATCAGCCAGGCAGAGGGACCTTTAATGTGAGTGCTTTATTGCTGAATGCTGGGGTATGGAGCTTACTTGCGCAGCAAGGTGTAGCTTATACCTTTTCCTCAAGGCCTGCATTCTGCTTGTGCAACAAATGCCTATTCCAAAATACTGTTGTGATGCCTTAATCCTGATCTGCCAAAATAGTCAACCCTTACCCTTCAAAACAACAAAACAGCCCTAAATAGCAAGCCTGCCCAGTAGGAGGAGGGGTAGTTCCCAAGTGAAATAGCTCCACTGCCATCTGAAAGTATTCATGAAATAAGCACAGTGAAAAGTGGGTGCTTCTTGAAGACTAATGACTAAAGTCCTTGTACAGTCTTTTCCAGGTAGCTTGGAGTAAAACTTAGATTGGTTTCAGCATCAAGTGATTGGCTGCCATGTGGCAGTGCAGCAAAATTCCTGTATTAGCAGGAGTACAGATATTGTCTCTCTCAAATAACTCACCACATCTTTCAATGGAAGAGGGAAGTATCTTAATTTAAACTCTTAATGGTTAACTAAAGCAAGAGGACTGTTTGTTTTGAATAACAAATGCCTGTATGACTGTGAGAATGGACTTCAACACCTCCAGTTGTTTTCACTGTGCAGAAGCTAACTTCTTCTGGCATAGCCTTAGCATAAAGACAATTTAACCCAGTGTATTCTCAGGGGAAAAGAGAGAAAATGCTCACAAGTCCTGTTATTTCTTGAAAATGCTCACAAGTCCTGTTATTTCTTCAAAATGTATCTAATGCTGCGTGCTGTACTGACTTCTCTGCTTCAGCTTCTCTGCTTTCCTCTCTTGGTATCATCAGACTTCAAGACTTCTGCTGTAGGAAGCCTGATGCAAAACCAGTCGGAGGCAAGAGAAACAGCTTTGTGAACCTAACAAGCCAAAAGCACAGGAAGATTTAATGCAGCAGAGGAGAGAGATGCCAGGGTGGGAAAAGCACTGTTTAAAATGGAGTGTGATATTTGTACAAGAACAGCTTGGTATAAACTGGCCACGAGCAGCTTCTTGCTGAAAATTAGCAGAGGGTTCTCACTGAGTAGAGGACTGAGACTCTGAACTGCACTTCCCATAAGGAGCACAAGGGGAGCTTGAAGAATGAGTTTCCAAAGAGGACTTTGACAGGTTAGCTGTGAGAGCAGGAGGCTGGTCTCAGCAACCTGGCAGCCCTTACAGGGGTGTCTGAGAACAGGGTGAGTCTATCTGAATAGCCAGTGCTTAAGAGAATACTTGGTATGAAAAGTGCCTTCAAGTAAGGCAAGCACACCCAACTTTCCCCACGCGCACCTGACTTCCCCCCACCACCACCTTTTAATTTCTCAAGTGTAGTGATAAGAATTGCATCTTCTGAAGTAAACCCTGGAAAGGTTGCAAAGTGGAAAAACAGTCGCCAAATAGGGAGCAGACCTTCTCAGGAGTTTTCCTTTCCCCCCCCAGCACAGCCTCATGCATTGCTCAGTCTGGACTTCAGGCTAGTCCCTCCCCAAAGGACTCTTCTTGAGCACCTCAATGCCTTCCCCAATTTAGACTCCGCACCACTTGCCTGGATACATAGCCATGTGGCTTTCATATTCAGGAGGAACTTCTTCCTCTTGAAAACTTCTGAAGTAAAATAGCTTCGCTGTCCTTGATGAGCTGGCTTCAGATGAGGACCAGTCCCTTCTTTCATCCAAGGCAGACCAGCTGCTTTTGCCTCAGGATTTGCTTTGAGGATCACAGATCTGTCTTGCTTTCCTTCCCTGCCTAGCTGATCTCATTAGGCATGCAATATGCTCTTTGGCTCAAGGTGGAGGTTTGTGGCATACTGGTATGCCTGGGATCCCCTCTTGTTTCTTGCCTGGGGTTTGAGTATCCCTTCTATCACAGCTGCTTTCATCATCCCTTCCCTCATAGGGTCCGTTGAGCCAGCAAGTCCTGACCACATTGCTTCAGGGTCTCACTTTGGGGCAAAAGAGGAGCAATCGTGTCTGGGATAGCAGAGCACTGGCCTCTAGGCACTGGTAGGGCAGGGAGAGTGTGCAAGCCACGTCATGGTGACTGCAGGGCCGGGGGTGGGTAGAGATGGAAACCCAGTAGTGTTGCAACCTGCAGAACAAACCTGGGGAGTCTGGAGCTTGCTGTATTGCAGGAGGATTTTTATATTAATTGTTGCAGCATAGCATATGGTGAAAGGCATGTAGTGATGCTTAAAGGTGCTTCAGAAATCTTTGATTTTGCTCTTGGACTTCTGTTCTCTGGCTTTTTCTAGTTGGTTATAAGTTCTCAATCATACCGACAGCAGAGCTGGCACGCTGATCTTAACTGTTGTGTGCAGCTGTGGCTCTTCTGGCTGCTGTGAGCAAATGCTAGCTATTCCAAGAGTCATCATGGAGGGGAGAAAGAGGGTTGTGGTGGCACTTTCTGATCTAGCGAGGAAGAAGCAGTGCCAGTATCATTCCTGATGTCCTCATGTACCAGTGGAAATGTGGCTTGCCAACTCTTTCCCGGACTGTGATGCAGAAGGTCCTTCATGAATAGTTTCAGACCATCTACAGGAAGCCATAATCAACATTGACAAATGCTCCCATCTTACAGCAAAGCTGTAGCCCTAACAGAATAATGAATATTGTTGAGTTCTGCTTAGGCAGGTGATTTGAGTAGTTGCTGTTTCTCCTGTTCAGGGCTTCTTAGTATGCAGGAAGGTGGTGGCTTTTTTGGCAGCTCAGCAGACTGAGATGCAGACTTTGCTCTACCTTACGGCTTGCTTGATTGCTGCAAATACCTTACCTGCCTCGGGTCATTTTGATGGGGTTGTCCAGCTGCTGGAGGAGTCTGCCCTACCTGCCAAAATGTTTATCAAAAGCTTGGTGATAAATAACCCCCCTGCAGCCTGTTATGCTGTTGGGAAATGGTTTGGCAGCAGGATGTAATTGCCCATGAGCCAAGGTTTGAGGTGCCAGCTGGAAAGCCATGACCAACCGTAGCTCTGAAAGAGCAGGCAGGAGAGACAAAGTGTTCTGGTTGCCGTCAGTGCTGCATCTTTTGTTTATGGTTTACTTTGTCCTGTGGGCCAGAGAAATCAGTCTGAGGGGTCTTCCAGCCTTCTTCAGCAATAGCTTTTTTCCATCGATGGAGAATACCAGCGAGTGACGCTTTCCTGGCCACCCTGTCATCTACCTGCACTGCACCAAGCTGAGGTCTTTGGCAGTTGTGCGAGCACTTGCTTCCTCCCAGCAGTGTTCTTGTGTGCTTGTGCAAGTGGCTGGAGATCCAGCTCCTAAAGCATATGAGAAGCTTCTTTGGAGGAGTCTGCTTTGCAGTGATGGGTGAGCATGCTGCTTCTCTCTCACTTTTAAAAGCTTATTGCTTATCAGCCTGGTCTAAACCTGCAGCAAGCAGAGAGAGATGATACTTCAAACCTGCTGTCCCCCCCCTTGGTTATGTGGACAGATTTTTGTGTAAGCTCCTGCTGAAAACAAGTTTGGGTTTTGGCAGAGTAAGTGTCTACGTGTGCTGCTCGATACAATAACAGATGATCTCTCTGTGTTCCTTGTTCTTTACACAACGTACTCATGTGGAAATTTCTGTTGCTGGTATGCTTACGGTCGTGCCAATCCCAGTAGTGTGGAACTAAAACAGAGTGGAAATGAACTTTGAAAATCAATTGTGAAAAGCCCTGAGACAGGTCTGGGGATGAGTCCAGTTGTCTTCCACCTCACACGGAAGCCTGTAGGCAGGTTGAGGAGAAAAAGGAGAAAGGCTGTTGGAGGGTTGGTGAGGGGTCCAGAATACCCTTGATTTGAGAACCCGAGTATGCAGCTTTTCACTTCATGCTGTGGGAACCTGGGGTGCATAACACTTACAAAGGTGCTTTGTGAAACTAAAAATTGACAAGTATGGAGATATTACGGTGTTGACAGCCATCTAGGCACTTAGAGAACAATTTAGGCTGCAAAAGGGAAACTGTTCATTTGTCTAGTTGAGTAAATTAAAATTCTGTGCACATTATTCCAAAGGAGACTTTTTTTAAAAAAAAAAAAAGAAAAAAATGACAGATCTTACTTGGAACTGTCTGCAGAGATGGAGCCAGCTCCCTGTCTGCGTGCATGTCTGTGTACTGTTCTCTCTAGGGGAGAAAATGGTAATGACAAACTGTATTTGGGATGTGTGCTCTAGAAACGTGGTGTCTGGAGCATGCCAGTGCTACTTGGAAGAAGTACGAGGTTATCTGGCAGCACCATGAGCTGGCCAGAGGTTTTTAAGACTGCTTCCTCCATCTTCTGCTGAGTTACAGTAATGGGTCTTAATACCCATGCTGGGGAGGATGAGGACAGAAGCAAGGCATTAGACAGCTTGGCCTTGATGTCTTCTGACCTTTTGGAAGCTTTCCTTGACAATCTTAACTGTAAATGTGCATGCATGGAGCTGTGTTATGACTTGGAGGGTAAGCTGGCAGACAGTGTGTTGCGTTTAGAAATCATGGTCTTGACCTTCCACCAGGCTCCTGAGAACTTGGGTCTGCATTTTTGCTGATGTTTTATCCTTATTCATATTTAAAGACGATCCAGGCTGTGGCTGCCAGCAAGCTTAAAAACTCTCTCCTCCTAGAGCATATTTCTGGCAGAAGCAGTCTTCACAAACTAGATCTTGGGTCTGTTTCTCTTGGCTAAAGGAATTTGTCAATCCAGAAATAAAAGAAGTAGACTTCATTTAACTTGCTGGCAGTTTGTCTTGGAAGGGGGTCATCAAACTTTTTGCTTTGTTATTTCCTGACTCACTCATTCACATGTGCGGCCTGGGAAGCTAGAAGTCAAAACAAACATAACAAAAATGAGAGAGAGAGAAAAAAAAAAAAAGGTCAGAGTCTCTTCCCTCCAAAAAGGGAGGAGTGTCTGTCCGTGTCCGTCCCGTCCCGTTCCCCCCGGCCAAAAAAAAAGGCATTTAAAATGTGATGTATCTGGTAGTAGGTATTTGTTTGATTGGGTTCTTGAAAAACAGTATCTTTGGTTTTGTGGAATTTTTTAGTTATGGAAAATCATTAGTTCCTCCTTACTTTTTCCTACCTAAACCTAGGAGAAACTGATTCTCTTCTCCTCCAAAACAAAAACAACCTCCAATTCTTTTTGAGTATGAAGTTTTCTGATTGTTCTAAAAATGACACTGCAAAAATTTACAGAGTCTAGGCATGAGCTCCAGACTTTCCTTAGAGGAAACTGAAGATGCATGTGCCCCCTCCGCCAAATACTTCTGCAAGTATGAAAACTCATCGTCAGGTCCCTCAGAACAACCAAACTTTGAAGGGCTCGCTCTTCATGTTGGACTGTCAAACATGAAAATCAACCCACCATGCAAGACTTGCCTTTTGTACTCTCTCCCCTTCTTTTTTTGTACAGTTGGGCCTTTCTGCAAATGGTACACACGCAGATGCTTAGATGTTGGAGGGTCAGCAAGGACAGAAAAAGCAAGCTTTTCCTGGAGAGCAACTGCCTGGGGTGGAAGAGCTGTGCAAGGAGGTTGGGGTTAAAGCTCAAGAATCAAATTGTTCTAACCGAGACTTTTAAAAATTAAGACATTGGGCAGGCTTTTTGAGAGGTGCTTATTCTGAAAGAGCTGTGAGAGAAAGGCAAACAACGTCGAGGCACACCCAGCATATTTGGAGAAAGGCTGCTTTCCCAAGTGGGGGGAACACTTCAAGTGTCAGCTCAAGATAGGACTTTATTATAAGGATTCAAGTGCCTTTGTTGCTCAGATGTCTTGGCATTTATCATGCCCGTGTGCTCCAGATCTCATGTTGATGATTGTTTTTTCATAAACTTGAGGTATATCATGTACATGGCTTCTGTACAGGCTTCCCCCCGTTCATCATGGGCTTTGGTAGCAGCAAATATTGTAAAGCTGTGTTTCAGGAGGACTGGGTAATTTGTGTTTCCCATCTGTGTAGTGGATCTTCTATTTCAATGAATTAAAGGAGCAACTCCACTGGTATGTGAGGGTGCTTGATGGTCTCTGACTTGTACCAGGACAGATGCTAGGCAGTTTGTAAGCTCACTCCTTCACTGTGCTGTATCTAGGCATCTCCTAGGGAGGACTAGGCTGCCAGCTGAGACTTTCCTTTGCCAACTTGAGATCTCTTTTGCTTGCGCTAGGGACTTGCCGTAGGGACAGCTGTTACTGGAGGACACCCCTGATTCAGAGAAGACTGGTTCTGCCGAGCGTGCTGCTAAATGATCTGTAATCCTGGAGTCTAGCTCGGGCTGGTTTGTTTTGCCTTTAGCTTAGTCTTACTGTTGCTGGGTTACCTTTCACTCAGCACTGCATTCCCAGCTGGGGTGCCTCCTCTCACAGTGCGAGGTCATCTGTTCCTCTGTAGTTCCCATTTCAGGGCATCTTCAACTGCAATTCTGTGAAGTAATCTTGAAGTGCCTGTTGTCACTTGAAATGTCCTTGATTGCAAAAAAGAGAGTGACAAGAAGTCAGAAAAATCATGGGAGAGTTGCGGAAAGGCTGCTGCTTAAGACAATTCTCTAAATGCTGTATGTGCCCAACCGGTACTGAGAGGCAGCTCCTGATATGTTGACTTGTGTGCCTGCAGGGCCGTGCATAGCCTACTTTCCTTGTGTCTGTCCTCAGAAATACTTTGATTCAAAAAAAGCTCACTTGGTAGGAGTTGCTGCAGACCAGAATGGTGGCCAGCAGTCTGGTTGTGGTCCTGCATCCTGCTAGCTGAGCTCAGGGTGAGGGGGGAGACTCTCTGAGGTGCTGCTCCATGTCATCACAGCTGCAGGCACAAGCTTCCCTGACATGAGTTGTGCCTGTCCTGGTTGCCAGCATTATTGTGCTGCACCTTGAGAGGTGACTGGGAAGTGAGTTGTGGATGTGGGTGGTGTTCAGGGAAGATGGAAGTGGGCCTGAGGATGCTGTAGGTACCTGTTGCCAGAAGAAAGGGCCTGGGGGAACGTCTTACAGCAAGACCTTTGATCTGACCCTCTGGGGTTTGCCAGTAGCGCTGTACTGTGTTCGTTCTCTGCCAGTGCAGCAGTGACAATTAACAACACCGGCTGCCTTCAGCAAAGCCCAGCGTGGATCCTGGTCATGAGGTCTCAGTCCTGCAGAGATGCTGTGTCGCTTAGTGGCATCACCCAACTTTTTCTTTGCCAGCAAAGAGGCGACAGAATGAGACAGGTTCTGGAGAGGGAAAACGTGCTGAAAACATGCTTCATGAACTTCGTCATGTTCTGCTACCATCCTACCACTGAATGCAGCTGGTTCTGTGTAAGGGGAAAAGAAAAAGACTGTTTCTGCCTCAGTGAGTTTGTATCAGATTTGTTGCAGAAGGAGGGTGTGTTTTGTTCTTCCGGATACACAGTCACCAAGGCAGTTCCTCCTCCTGCGTAAAGACTGTTGCTTTGGAAATTATTTGGTGGATGTTCAAGCCAAATCAGGAGTAAAACTTTCCCTAATAGTCTGGGACTGAGTTATTACAGACCTGGTGTCTCAATTTTTGCCCTAGCAAGCATACAAATAGTGCAGCTGGAGCAATGTTCTCTCTCTTGGCCTTTCGGTTTCTGCATATGGAGGTGGTTTTTCAGGTGTGTCTCCCTTACACTTCTTGATTGCTCCTGATTTTCTTCCACCAGGGAATTCTCTTGGTGTATGACATCACTAATCGCTGGTCCTTTGATGGGATAGACCGATGGATAAAGGAAATAGATGAGGTAAGCTGAATGGAAGAACACATGCAGTGGTCTATAGCAAAAATTTGGGGAGGTATCACCTGAGGTGCCACCTCTGATACGGGGACAAGAATGGCTCTGCTATGGAGAGGAAATGATGGCAGTCCACTAATAAGCAAGGAGACAAGTGTCTGCCCTCCACCTCTGTATAAATCCAGAGTAGTAGGAAAGGGCTTGGGAATGGTCAAGAAAGACAGGAAGCTTCCCTCTAAATCAGACTGTGGCAGGGATAAATTAGTCTTACTTGTCATGTAGGAGTCCCCCTCGGTCACAGAGCAGTTTCTATTTCTTTGCCCTTCACTGCTGTTGCCGGTAAGCAGAATACTGGGTGTAGGCTGCCCTTGCTAAGGACAAGCCATGATTTCTCCACTTTTTTCCTTATTTAAGCATGCCCCAGGTGTCCCTCGGATCCTGGTGGGAAACAGGCTTCACCTCGCCTTCAAGCGGCAGGTGCCAACGGAGCAAGCCCGGGCTTACGCGGAGAAGAACTGCATGACGTTTTTTGAAGTCAGCCCCCTGTGCAACTTCAACGTCATAGAGTCCTTTACGGAGTTGTCCCGTATCGTCCTCATGCGGCATGGCATGGAGAAGATCTGGAGACCCAACAGAGGTCAGTAGCGAGGGAGATGCTCCATATGGGGAAGGCATGAGAGCTGGCTGGGCTGAAATGGAGGGATAGGACTGACTGCCTAGGTGGGAGGTGTGTTTATTAGTAACTGTGGGATCTGAAAGCACCTGACATGGTGAAACGCCTCAGGTTGGACAAGCTGAAGCTGAGCCGCAGCAAGCTGCCTGCACGCCTGCAGGAACCCAGCAGGCAGCGGTGTGGGACGGGCAGCTCCAGAGGGCAGTTTAGCATGTCTAGGATCTGAATTGCTGCAGGGCATCCTACACCTCGCCACTTATTCTGGATGAGGCTGAGGGCAATTAAGCTCACAACTTGAAAGTACTTCAATCAAATGGCTGTGTGGGATGAATCCAGGCGTAAGCACCTCTGTCCTTACCCTTGCCTGAGCCTGTGTCTCCTGTTTTGGAGGGATGTGGAAGCAGAGTGAGCCCAAGGAGCTGAAAGGGACTAAATCACATCCCTGCTGTCGGTGTGCAGCAGTGGGCTGGGGTATTCCATATATCCAGGCTCATGTGCTGCAGTGTGGCAAACTGCAAGCAGATTCCACATTATATCTTAGCCTGTTGCATTTGAAGCAAAATAGTCTTAGGTCCCACGTTCCTGGGTGGAGGTAGCAGTGTGCTCCACTGGCAGTCTGAGCAGCAGGAGACTTGCACTCCTGAGGTGACCTGCCTTCATATGGATCCTCAGCTCCTGCTCACGAGGGAGGGAAAATCCTGGTTGCCAGCCCCAGTCACCAAATTGTCTGCCTGGGCTCCTGCCCCTGACCTGGCTGCCAGGTCATCCATCGTGGACGGATGGTGAGCAGGAGGAGCTGCATGGCATTCGCAGACCTCTCCTGAACCTCCTCCGGAGGCAGGACTTGTACCTGCTGGCTGCCTGCTTGGGAATAGGGGCTGCCTGCTTGGGAAAGGCAGCGTGGCTTTCGCGGCAGGCTGGAGGTGAAAGCGTGCCCTCGTGTGGCTGCTTGCTGGGAAATCCTCTCCAAGTAGACTTCCCAGAGCAGGCTCACATGATGTACACTGAACTAAGAGGACACTGGGAAGCCTGAACGGGCAGTCTTCTTCTGGCTTGGTGGGATCTCTGTTGCTGCAGGTCTTCTGCAGAGAGCCAGCCCTGTAGCTGCTGCTCTCTTAATAGGTCCCAAGTGAGACTGTCCTGCTTTGGGGCTTGCTGACCCTGTTGCCTCCTTCCCTGGGCACATCCTTCTGGTTGCCAAACGATGGCCTGAGAAGCCAAGTGTCTGGCAGGAATGTGAGCAAGGCACTGCTGCAGAGAGAAGGGGTGGCAGTGTCTAAGCCCTGTGTTGACACCAAAGCTGGTGTCTCGCAAGCCACTAACCTCCAGCAGCAGAGCTTACCTGGGGTTTCCTAAGTTTTTGTCCTAACTAATCTGCTTTCTAGTCAAGGCACCTATGCAATCATTATTAACGCCTCTCCCCAAAGGAGCAGGAACTGCGCAGCATAAGGAATAGTTGTGGGAAGAAGGCAGCCCTTGAAATCTCTTGGCCTTTGACCGTCTTGTCTTTTCTCCCACCAGTGTTCAGCTTACAGGACCTGTGCTGCCGAGCCATCGTTTCCTGCACCCCGGTCCACCTCATCGACAAGCTGCCATTGCCCGTCACCATCAAGAGTCACCTGAAATCCTTCTCGATGGCCAACGGGATGAACGCGGTGATGATGCATGGCCGGTCGTATTCCTTGGCCAGCAGTGGGGGTGGGAGCAGCAGCAAAGGTAACAGCTTGAAGAGATCCAAATCAATTCGTCCGCCCCAGAGCCCCCCACAGAACTGCTCACGCAACAACTGCAAGATCTCTTAGCAGGATGGACATGCCGTGAGCTTCTAACGTATCCACACCCACCCACCGATGTACAGCTGTTTGCACACTTAACCCTTTTCGACTGGATCCTTTTGGATGGGCCGCGGTTGCTTTTCCAATGGCACGCACAAGCGTTAGGAATGGGCTCACGTTTTGGCTTCGCATAGGAAGCGTGGTGCCGGCTGGATCTCACAGCACTGGCAGGGAGAGGACTCTGCCAAGTGACCCTCCAAGAATGCTTTGGGCTTTGCCTCTTGGCCTGGGGTGGAAAATTCAGCAGCTGCTGGGTTGGGGAGGGGGGAAGGGGAAAAAAAGCTCATCCAGTCTCAATGGAGAAATGGATTTAATGGAAGATTGAGAGGCTTAAGGGAGTAGGCAAGGAGAGTCTCTGCTGCAACTTTAACTCTTGGACTCCTGAACAGATTGCTGGTGCAATAGTGATCATTGGATGTAGAAAAAAAAGAAATGGGGACAGGGGACTAATGACAGTTTTCACCAGGATGTTAACCTGCTGTTGCCAAAAAAAAAAAAAAACAAAAAAAAAAACAAGGCAAGGGGAGGGAAGCAGTCTGCTTGCCTTCTTCATTTATTTATGTAAATATTATACATATATATATATATATCACTTGTTTTTTAAGGGTTTTTTTAAGAAGCAGTCAGGGAAAATTTTATGCAGCCATGTAAATACAAGCACTGGATTAACTTTCCCAGTGTCAGCAAAGGGGAGAAGTGGAGGATTTTCTGATGAAAATATACAGATGCTTTAAGAGACTTTCAATCCCCACCAGGGCTTGTGCTGGTTTTTTTTAAATACTACGTATGCAGAAGGAAAGAACAATTTGTGTGTAACATACCCCAAGCTGCTCTATTCTGATCATTCGCTAAAACTTGTGAGTGCTGAAGGCAGGGTGGGACGTAAGTGGATTGAGGGGCAGAGCGGAGAGGCCAGGGTCTCAGGGTTTGTTTTCGGCAGGCAGGATGAAGAGACAGCTCTGAGGTCAGACTGATGTCTTGCTCGCTTCGCACCTTCTGATCTATGGCTGATGTGGGACTGAGGAGCAGAAGGTAGAAGCATCGCACCTAAAGCAGAGGAAGAACACTGAATTTTGTCCCTTATTGCTGCAAAACCTCGGCCATCGCTTCCAGAGCCCTCCATCTGCAATGCCATCCCGCGTGACAGCCCCAGAATCCTGGCTGCTTCTTGCTTTGCTTTTCCAAGGACATTCTGCCTGAGCTAGCGTTGCTGTGGCTTCTCCTAGATGAAAGTGGGGAAAGGACACAAGCAGCTTTTCCCACTGGAGTGTGAAGGAGCCAGGGACTGGGAAGGTGAAAGAGGTTTGTGTGGGGGAACAGTGGACCCCAGCCCCCAGGTCCCATTGTGGCAAATGCGCTCGGCTCTTGTGGTAGCACCAGAAAACTGGGAAAGCAAACTGCTTTGCTCTGTAGGACCGCTCCTGGATTTTAGAGGGGCGTGTGTGCTCAGCGGCAAGAGCTTGAGATGTGCATGTGCTGTGGGAGAAGATCTGTCAAGCAAGGGCATGCGCTTCCCCAGCTTTGCCCCATGGCTGATCTGTGCTGGAAATTCACCTGGAAACTTAGAAATAACACCTAGCCCTTATTCCAAAAGCTAAGCAGGTCTTGGCAGTGGGACTAAGCTATGTTGACAGATTCTCATAGGTGGCCGGGACGTGTAGATTTTGAGTAGCATAGTAGAAAGTGAACTGCTTTTGCTTTTGCTGGGCTGGTCTCCTCAGTGAGGAGACCAGCCGGTACAGTGCTGCCATCTTCCTCCTGGTTGTTAGCAACTCCTCAAGGCCTGGGCTTGCTCTTCTCCCCCCATGCCCCAGAGCAGCTTGTTGCATTGCATGGGCAGAATGAAGCCGCAGCGGCTCCTGCGCGGCTGACGGACCCGCTTTGTTCAGGCAGCGTAGAGGGGCACATCTCTCCATGGGGGACATCTCCTTCCCCTTGCTTCTGAGCCGACCTGGGAGGTGAAGGAGCCTTCCCCCTCCCTGCCCTGCAGAACAAAATACAGTACAGGGGTAGGTCTCTTGGCTCATCTCTAGCATGCTTTATTGCCCAGCTCAAATGAGCGAGGAGAGAATTAAACCCCAGGCAGATGGAGGGGCGAGAAGAATCCTTTGTAGTGGTGGTTTGGCTCAAGAGCAAAGCTGCAGCCGAGCTCGGCGCGGTGGCGCGAAGGCCAGGGGATTTCGAGAACCTGTCTGGGATGGCTGGCACCTGTTTCCCATCACTTAACACACAGCAGAAGACAATCGCTGGCTCAGCAGCCTGGGGATATACAGCCAACAGGTGATCGGCACTGCAAAAGGCGACTTCTCCTGGAAAAACATCATCTGGGCACCGCGGGGTCCCTTTGCCGGGCTGCTCCCGGGCACCGGTGTGTGGGGTGAAGAGGGACGAAGGTTTCCTTTCTGAAATCACAAAGCTGCTGCATGTCTAGAAAAACTTGATGTACCTCTGCTTGGTTTGGCTTTGCCATGTGTGACACCTCCCCATGCCTTTTCCCTGCAGTTGATTTTCCACCCCCCCACCCCCCCCAAGGTCTCAACAGATCCAGTCTCCAGTGAGGATGAAAGATTTACTTAGAGGAATTGCTCAGCAAAAAACTTTTTTTAATAATTTAAAAGGAAAAGATTCTTGCATCTGATGTCAACACTAGTCTGTAGCTGCTCTCCAACACTTGTACCATTCCTGAGTTGTTTTTTTTGGACTATCCTTTTATTTTTTTATTCCTTTGTACAGTCAATGTTGTTCAACTGATTATACATGGTTTTGTTTTGTATAAATTAAAGTCTTTTTTTTGTTTTGAACTACCAGTTGAAAGGTGGAGAAGTTCTATTAATTTTTGCGTGGGCTGGGAAGAGGTTGAAGGGAAAAGGTGGTAGTTGTGCCCAAAACTGGGGATTTGGGGCTGCTTGCGGTGCAGGTGCGTATTGCCACTACCAGATCATCCACAAAATAAATCCTTTTATGTTTTCTGGGGAGTCTTAGAAGTCATGATTCCTGGCTCTGGTGGCTTTTGCCCTTCTCTATGCATGCAGAAGCTAAATCTGTTCTTATTAAAGTCTTGATTCTCACAGAATTGCTGGGGTTTGGGTGGTGTAGCTCTAAGAAAACACAGACTAGTCTACAACACATTCAGTATTGTAGGTGGCTGTAGGAAGCCAGGCTCCTTACCAGCTTGCGTGGGGTTGTGCGCAATCCTTGGTACAGGGGGATGGGGTTTGCAAGTAAAGTCGAAGCCTTAAATTGCCTCTTTGGGTCCGGGTAATCCTGGGGAGTGAGGACTTGAGTGCTGCGGCAGTTTTCACCCTTCCTACCCAGACTGGAACAAGCGGAAAGTCAGCCTGCGATAAATGTGACTTTGAAATGGAGATGATGCCGCGGGGAGCTCGGAGCATCCGTGTCACATTGGGCTGTCCCTGGGGTTGGTGTTGGGAGGCATCGGCTGGGGCCAGGAGCCCCAAAGAAGGGGGGTTTGCTCATGGGGTGGAGGGAAACTTCTCCTTGCCTGATCCTTTTCTCTCTTGCTCCCAGCCCACCTCCCCTTGACCTCCCTTTTCCCCTGCCTGCTCGCTTCCCTAGGATCAGATTTTCCACTTCGTACCAGACTGGCCATGCTTGTTTTAACAGCTTAAGTAGTAATTGCCGGGGCTGGGAGGGGGCAGGGGGGAAATGAGATAGTGTCTGCAGCCTGGAAAACCCTGGAGCTAAGGTGAAAGCCTGGTCAGGGAAGAGTCGTGGAGACTTTTTTTTTTTTTTTTTCCTTTTCAGGGGGGGTCTGGAAGTGTCTGTTCCCTCTCGCCAGCAGAGCTGAAACAAAGGCTGTGTGTGGTTTCAGGTGGGGTATGGACAGCCGGAGCCCATTACGCTGGAGCAGCAGGGGCTGCCTTTGCTGCAGCTGTCTCTGCTTGGGAAGAGCAGGGCAAGAAAACACGCTGCACAGCCTGAACATTGGGGGAAAGGCTAGAAGAGCTTTAGGGGTCCCTGTTCCTTGGAGAAAGAGGAGGGAGCAGGTTGCTCTGGGCTGATTCAAGTCTCTCCTAGTTGAATGTGTTTCTCTGAACCCACCTTCCTAATTTTAGGGTATCTTGGGTTGGTCCCGCTGTCCCCTGTGGGGTTGTACCATGCAGGCTGTGAAGAAATGGTGACCTTCATCTGACTGCACCCCAGATCCTTGAAAATAAGGATGCACCTACCCGTGGGTGCATTGGTGGGACAGGAGTGCTCCCTGGGTGCAGGGTGTTATCAGGGTGGGGGGACACATGGTGCTGTGCCCTTCCCTCCAGGACAAGGTGCTGAGCTGCTTCCTGTGCTCCCTTGTCTTGAAGGGAGAGGATCAGCCATAAAACACATCCATGCCTGGGATCTTTGAAAGCAACCCCCCAAAAATCCCCGTTTTGGTGTGCAGCGGGTGCTTGGACACACGGCAGTGAACAGTTTGGGAAAGACTGAAGTTACGGCTGCTTTAGGCCATTAGATGGTGAAAGTCTGTCGTGGGCTTGGTCCAGGGTGGGGAGAGTTGCTTTTTTTTTCCATCTTCTGCTGAAGCACTAGAAGAGGCCGGGCAGGGGTGCCCAGGCATGGGTGAGGGTGTCAAGTCGTTGGGAGCTGCATTTCCAACCACACGGCATCCAGCATCCCTCCGGCTGGCCTCGCACTGCTGAGGCAAAAGTTCCCGGCAGGCGCTTGTCCCGGCCTCACCGCTTTTGATCCCGGTGACGTGGGGATGAGGTATCTCGGGGTCTGGTGTGACACATGGGCCACCCTTCAGGGACTGCTTCTCTGGCTCTGGAGAGGGGCCACTGGGGCAGGAGTCAACCCAAATCCCAGCACCGGCGTCTTCTTAGACCATGTTGCTGTGACCACATGGACCCCGGTGTGGGGATGGGTGAAAGCTGGACTCCAGATATTCTCCCCCCCTCCTGCACCAGCACCCTTGGAAGGACCCTGGGGCACACTGAAGTGGCTCTATGCCCCCAGACTGCATCCTTGGGGAGCGAGGTGCCATGACAGCCTGCCACGCTGCCTCCCAGCAGGAGCGAGGAGCGTTTGGGTGTTGGGGATCTCCATGCCTAACGCTGCTGCAGGCAGCCGATGTCTGGGGTCGGCTGGGTGGATCCAGGGGGCTCCAGGCTGCTGGGACAGGCAGGGTACGGGCCCTGGCATCTCCCAGGCCAAGCCGTCCTGATGCAATTCCCTGTTTGCAAAACACCTCATCAACCTCCCCGTGAGTGTCCCGGGGCAGCATAACCTCCCCTCCATGTCCAGGGCCAGCCAGACCCTTGGGCAGCTGCTTGGCCGTGAAACCGGGGACCTTGGGCACGGCCATGGGACATGCTCCAGCTCTCCACACATGGTCACGGCAAGCTGATGTCAGACCTGACCGTGATTTGGGATTTCAGGCCCCCGGGGAGCCGCAGCAGCGCCGTGGGCAGCACGGAGCCACCGGCAGCGCAGCCGTTTGCTGGCCCCGGCGGCTGCTTGGGCAGGGAAGCGCCAGCGGTTGCAGGTCGTGGTGCTGTGTCAGGGGCACCAGCTGGAGGTTAGCGTGCCGGGGCACTGGGCCTGTGTCCTACTCGCGCCAGCGTGGCGGGTGTTGAGGAACCCCCCCCCCCACAAAACGCCTGGTCCGGTGCAACAGGGCTTCCCCTCAGGAGTCGCAGACTGGGGCGCACCAAACCATTACATGCAAAAACACCTCTGGGGCGTGTGTGGGATGGGTTCCCTCCCAAAAATGTCCATTGCCCCCTTCACCACTTGCACCCCCCCAGTTTGCAGCCCTGCAGAGGGGAGGCCGGAGGTGCTGAGCTGCCCCCACCGGGGCAAAACCACCCTTGGGTGAATTTGCTGCTTCCCAGGAGCTGCAGACCCCCCGCCTTGGGCGCTGAGTGGGTCACGGCTCTCGCCAGTGCCGGAAGAGTTAATGCTCCCAAAATGCCATGAAATGTTCCTGCTGCAGGTCAGTCTCCACTGGGGATTAAGGAAATCTGGCCGGGGAGCCAGGCCCAGCTCCTGCCAGCTTAGGGCCGGCTGCGGGACGTGCTCAGGGAGGCAGTGGCGGGATTGAAGCCCAGGCACAGCGTGCCGGAGCCCTCCCGCTGGGGTCTGGCACGGCCAGGCGCTGCCTTCCAGCTCAGAAAAAGACAGCCAGGCTGTAAATCAGCGGGGAGGGAGGGCTGGGAGAGCCCCTCCAGGGGGGCTGGGTGGGCACCCACCCTGCCAGGCGAGCCGGGGGGTCCTGTGCCGGGCAGCGCTGTGCGGCACTCGTGGGATGCTGGCTGGCGAGCGAGGATGACCAGGGTGGACGCATGCTGGTGACGGCACCCTGGCGCGTGTCCAGCCTGGCTGCCTTTGCCCGTGGTGCCAGTGGGCGCGAAGAGGCGAGGTGCGGGGTGAGGGGCTCCCAGGCCAGCCCGGTCCCCGGCAGCCCCTCAGCGTGGGCTCCGTGCGTCTCCCCGCCGGTGGCCCTGTCCGAGTGGACCGCAGGCTCTGGCTGTTTTCTCATTCTGCAGGAATTCAGCTCCGTGGGCTGGGCGGGTTTTTTTGTGTCCGCCCCCCCCCCTCCCCTTCACTCTCCCTCTTTGGAGACTTTCTGCATTCTGCCTTTGATCTCCCCCCCGCCCCGTGTTTGCCCAGCCGATCGCTGGGCTCGCCGGGGTTAGAGGCTGAGGTCAGCGCCTTTCCCATTCCAAACACCCAGAAACATCAGTGGGAAGGGAGGGGATTCAGATTACAACCTTCCCGTCCTCCCCTTCCACCCCACTCGCCCCGCTCGCCGTGCCGGCGGGGAACCGGCGATGGACTGAGCCCCTCTTGCCGAGGGACGCCGCTGCCACCGTGTCCCCGGCGCCCCGAGAGCCGAGCGACGGCGATGGATGGAGGTGGCGGGCAGCATCGCCCGTGGTCCGGCTGGCGCTGGGGGTGCTGAAGGGCAGAGGTTTGGTCCTCTCCTCCTCCTCCTCCTCCTCTTTGTCCCCCCTGCCCGCCCGCCTTCTCCCTCGTCCCCTCCATCCTGAATGGGATTTATCCCAAGGCCTCGCCAGCGAGCCAGGCCGGCGGCGTGGGGTGGCCAGATGCCTCCTCGCGGGAATTTCGGCCGCCCGAGCCGGGGCTGGCGAGCGGGTGGGCGGCAGCGTGGTCCCCTGGGCGTCGCGCTCCTCCTGCCTTTGCTGGCGGCGGCGGCGGCCGGGCTGAGCCTGCAGCCGGGCAGGATGCGGCACCTGGGGGTCTGTCCCAACCAGCTGAACCCCAACCTGTGGGTGGATGCCCAGAGCACCTGCGAGCGGGAGTGCCAGGC